AATTGTAAAGATCCCATTCCAACATGAGACCCTAAATCATCTCATACACTCAGTTGCAATGATGGCTTGACTCTCTCTAAATGACCACATTCTAAATGATGAGTTCATACCTTCAATTGCTCTACTAACTATAAGGCAATAAATCTAGCAGACCTGGTAAACTTAGGCTATGAGAGCTCTCCATTCACCATATAACAACAGGTGGATTTGTTAATGAGTGCATAGGGGAAACCTGACAGGATGACCAAGACTGCTATATATTTCCCGTAAAATACAGGTCTTAGTCGTTGTTTTTTTTGGGTACAAAAAAATTAATATGCAAATAGGTCACTCTATATATCTATTAAGGAACATTGTCGCTCAGAGCACACACCTATCTCCATGAAACCCCACCACACCTATGTTAGGGCTGAAGCTAAAGTCTCACCGCATGCTTTTGGCACTGAAAATATATATTTAGCCCCACCGAATTGTCATACTAGGGAATCCGAGTTCTAACCTACCTGACCAACCACTTAGTTTTCATCAAACCAAGAGGACCTAAAGTTCAGGCTTCACTATCATAAAAATGAGGGGTAATAAACATTGTATTTCTTTACACAACAAATCTTGTTTTTCTTTAGATAAAGCTGTCTAATCTGACTATAATTTGAATAACTCAAACAAATCGATCNTTTTTCTTTAGATAAAGCTGTCTAATCTGACTATAATTTGAATAACTCAAACAAATCGATCGTTGTTCTTAACGAAAGGGATCTATGTACCAGTGGAAAAAAAAACCCAAATTAATTCACAAACATTTCCCAACCCTTTGCTTGGTTACTTGGAAGTATTCAAGAAATCACGCATAAAACACAATGTCATACGTATGTTATCACTGATTCATGATTTTCAGTAATAAAACACTCAAACTCAAATAACCCAGACTTAATCTATTCAAAATAGACTTCCATAGTCTGTACTCTAATACCCTTTCCCACGATAAAATCATCTGCAAAAACCATGATCCACTGTAATTTTGAATAGTTATCAAAGAAAACTAAAAAAAATTATTCGGGTAATGAAATAGGAGAGAGAAAGTCAAAAATCTCGTGTGGAAAGTGCCGCTCATTGCACCGCCCAATTGATGATGATGCTAAGTTTGCACATACGGAGATTTTCATCATTCTTTCTTCTAATCAACAATCAAAACATATGCGCAGATAAAAGTGGTCTAACCAAACCTCAACGGGTCGTTTGAACGAAGGGCGCTCCGCTTCAGCCGTTAAGGTGGTTGCTCTCTCTAAGTACCTGACGGAAGAGTTAGCTTTTATAGAGCTGGCGCGTGGGACGATCTTGGTTGATGGTAACGNTATACTTAGGTGCAAAGTTTTTGATCTCTTTTCATAACTAGAGCCAATTCAAAATCAACCTAAAACTCATAAAACAAAAATACATCGGAGAGTTTAGTTTTGAACAAATGGATCTTTAGTTTAAGCAGGTTGAGTTTGGGTTAGGAAATACCAATTTCAGTTGAGAATATGTGTTGAACTTTAATTTTTAAGTTTGACTCTTCCTTATGCNACAGATTATAAAGATTGATTTCAGCCTGAGCCGCCCATTTAAAAGTCCAGAACATTTAATGGTCCCTTGGTTACATGGCAGTTAAACAGCTCACCTATAACTTGTCACAAGAATGGACCACAGCCCAAGAAAGGGAGTCCAACGACTCCCATATCAATCTACATCTGCTTGCCCACATCAAACTTGGCGAATATCAGCCCAGGAATAAAAAATTCGGTGTTCGTTAGATTTCGAATATCTGCCGTTGCGCCATGTGTCTAGGCCATGTGTCTAGGAGGCAGGGGTATAACTACTAGAGCCCCTAATGAACACATACTCCCTAATAAAGAGAATATTTGTATAAATTTCGTTTTAAGAATTGTGGGCGCAACTTGTGTCAAAGAGGTAAACACTACTACAAGATAAAAGAAGAGAGAACCATAGACTCAACTAGGAGAAAGAAGGAATTGCAAAAAATCCTAGAGGATAACATGTATAAATAGAACACAAATACACTATATAATGGAGTTTTTCTTAAAAAAAAAAAATTGTATTCACCACTCTAAAACAAAGAAGCCCACTATAAACTTCTTCTTCAAGCAATATAAGCCCCCAAGGAACAAGAGTCTTTGTTATAGTGGATGCAGCCTTGATTTTTCGGTTAAAGTGAACCACTTATATCTTATTTTTAGTCCAACAACATCTCTTACCTCCTTAGTAACTTAACTATTCACACCACCCTCCTCTTGGGTCTTGCAAAATTACTGTTCAGCACTTGGGCTAAGCAATGTTGCGTACCATCAATACTTGATTTTTTTTAGGACAAAACACACTTTTGATCACGTTATTCAACGAAATTGTAGCACCACGGAATATTATTGTCTCGTAATATTATCACCGTCACATATTTATAAATAGATAAGTTGAACCCCAATTGCTATATCCATGTAAAATAATAACTACAAATTTAAAGAATTGTAGTTCTTCTTCTCCATTTGTAGATTTACTATTAAACTATGGTATCACATGATAGTGATAATGTAATGTTATCGTGACACTAAATATTTACTCATTCCCCAACCCCTTCTCTTTGAGAAAATATTCATTACAATAGTGATACCCACATGATAATATGATGTGTTATTATCAACCAATAATAATAAAACAAATAAGTAAATGAACCTCATAAAAAATAATAAATAATTTTCCATGTAAATAAATAACTCCCCCACTTTTCCTTCATGTAAGCCCGAGTAGAATTCACCTTGTCATTTAAGATTTTATTATTAGTTGGTGATACCATGTTATCGATGGTAACAAAGTATCACCATTGCATTCGATATTGACTCCTTTCCTTGACAACATAACTTTTATCTCATTTTTTCTCTCACCCCTATTCACTATGCTGTCACACCTCATTTTTCTATCTTGACACCCCTCTACCTCAAAGTAATTCCTCAAAATCCTTTACCCCTAACCGTAAATCCAAAAACAATCGTGGGATATTATAATTTTAAATTCAATGAAATTATATTGAAATTTTTTCTCCTACAATGGGCTTGTGATCACTCATTAGGGCTTTTAGTAATGTTCTTAATCTGATGAGATGTTTAGTATTAAGAATATACTCTTATACTTAGGTGCAAAGTTTTTGATCTCTTTTCATAACTAGAGCCAATTCAAAATCAACCTAAAACTCATAAAACAAAAATACATCGGAGAGTTTAGTTTTGAACAAATGGATCTTTAGTTTAAGCAGGTTGAGTTTGGGTTAGGAAATACCAATTTCAGTTGAGAATATGTGTTGAACTTTAATTTTTAAGTTTGACTCTTCCTTATGCATTTCACTAATAGGGGGAATCATTGTAAATCTCTTTCTCTCTCTCTCCCCCCTCCTCTTCTCCCACACATATTTATATGCTAGTCTTGCACAACTTGGATTCATGGTTGAAACATGGTCAATAATCGCACATTTGAAGAAGAGTACCCTACTCAATGATCGTGACATTTAATGCGATATAATGTAAAAAGTTTGTTGTCCACTACAACTTTTCATGATGTCCATCACCAAGGTCTCATTTTTTGGCCAAGTGCATACGGCCACACATAGAAGGCCAATCTCTGCCCCCAAGTCTTACGATTCATATGGAAATTTGGGGTAAGGGGCCAATGTCTATTGTTGTGGGTAGATCATAACTAATTTAGAACAAAGTGGTATATATTATATAGTGGGTAACCAGTTAAATCCTTCAAAGATAAAATTAAAGCAAAATTGAAGCCACAATTCTCAATGCTAAAACTTCCCACTTTCTACATTTCTTTTGCTTTCAAATGTCTTTTTTCCTTGATCCTTTTTTACCCCTCTCACACACACCTCATACCCCTCTTTTTTTCCCTCCCACTCATTCTCATTATTGGTGAGTGTTTTGGTTAGGATCTAGAATTGTAACTTTTTTACTTTTGTGGTTTGACTCCTCATGTACAACTAAATCGATTGATTGTTACTTATATCAAAATAAAAATAAAATAGAAGCCATGTTCCTAAATTATATAACTTTAAATTTCTCTTGTTTGTTTCAGTCTCTCACGTGTGTTAGCCTTTGATCCACTTTAAACTTACTTTCTCTCATTTTCGTCCTTCCACTCTTATTAGAGATGAGTATTTTTGTTGAAAACTAGAAGTTTGTTCTATGAACTCGATTTCCTAATGCTAATCACATGTTACCTATTACATAATTTGACAACTATGTCTGAAAATCATGGATGGGCTGTAGGAAAGGACGTTTAGTGATAGTAAGTAATTTTTGGGACGAGCTGGAGATAGGTAAGAAAAGAAATAACATGGTGAGATAATGGGCTATGGGGGCTGAAGGTGTGCAACTGGATTGATGTGCGGGGTTGGAGGTGATTGAAGGGGCTTACAAGGTGGAATGCCATGGTAACACGGTANAGCACTTGGGCTAAGCAATGTTGCGTACCATCAATACTTGATTTTTTTTAGGACAAAACACACTTTTGATCACGTTATTCAACGAAATTGTAGCACCACGGAATATTATTGTCTCGTAATATTATCACCGTCACATATTTATAAATAGATAAGTTGAACCCCAATTGCTATATCCATGTAAAATAATAACTACAAATTTAAAGAATTGTAGTTCTTCTTCTCCATTTGTAGATTTACTATTAAACTATGGTNAATCCATATGATACAACGTTAAAAAAAAAAAGCTAAATAAAAGATATTCCATAAGTCGGGTTGGGCCCTTGTCAATCCTATATCATTTTGGTCACCCTTTTCGGGCCCTTGTCAACCCTATATCATTTTGGACTCTCACCCAACAGGCCCATTTTACACGGGCGATTTTATAATTCTAGTAAAATTCAGGGGGCTAAGGCGAGTTAAGTTACTATATATATAGGAGGAAAGCTGTCTAGGGTTTAAACTAAGGCTACTGGGTGAGAGTCGCCGCACAGCTTCATTGCAGAAACAGCAGGTTCTCTCTCTCTTTATCTCTCTCCNCTAATAATAATAAAACAAATAAGTAAATGAACCTCATAAAAAATAATAAATAATTTTCCATGTAAATAAATAACTCCCCCACTTTTCCTTCATGTAAGCCCGAGTGGAATTTACCTTGCCATTTAAGATTTTATTATTAGTTGGTGATATCATGTTATCGATGGTAACAAAGTATCACCGTTGCATTCGATATTGACTCCTTTCCTTGACAACATAACTTTTATCTCATTTTTTCTCTCTCCCCTATTCACTATGCTGTCACACCTCATTTTTCTATCTTGACACCCCTCTACCTCAAAGTAATTCCTCAAAATCCTTTACCCCTAACCGTAAATCCAAAAACAATCGTGGGATATTATAATTTTAAATTCAATGAAATTATATTGAAATTTTTTCTCCTACAATGGGCTTGTGATCACTCATTAGGGCTTTTAGTAATGTTCTTAATCTGATGAGATGTTTAGTATTAAGAATATACTCTTATACTTAGGTGCAAAGTTTTTGATCTCTTTTCATAACTAGAGCCAATTCAAAATCAACCTAAAACTCATAAAACAAAAATACATCGGAGAGTTTAGTTTTGAACAAATGGATCTTTAGTTTAAGCAGGTTGAGTTTGGGTTAGGAAATACCAATTTCAGTTGAGAATATGTGTTGAACTTTAATTTTTAAGTTTGACTCTTCCTTATGCATTTCACTAATAGGGGGAATCATTGTAAATCTCTTTCTCTCTCTCTCCCCCCTCCTCTTCTCCCACACATATTTATATGCTAGTCTTGCACAACTTGGATTCATGGTTGAAACATGGTCAATAATCGCACATTTGAAGAAGAGTACCCTACTCAATGATCGTGACATTTAATGCGATATAATGTAAAAAGTTTGTTGTCCACTACAACTTTTCATGATGTCCATCACCAAGGTCTCATTTTTTGGCCAAGTGCATACGGCCACACATAGAAGGCCAATCTCTGCCCCCAAGTCTTACGATTCATATGGAAATTTGGGGTAAGGGGCCAATGTCTATTGTTGTGGGTAGATCATAACTAATTTAGAACAAAGTGGTATATATTATATAGTGGGTAACCAGTTAAATCCTTCAAAGATAAAATTAAAGCAAAATTGAAGCCACAATTCTCAATGCTAAAACTTCCCACTTTCTACATTTCTTTTGCTTTCAAATGTCTTTTTTCCTTGATCCTTTTTTACCCCTCTCACACACACCTCATACCCCTCTTTTTTTCCCTCCCACTCATTCTCATTATTGGTGAGTGTTTTGGTTAGGATCTAGAATTNTATTCACATATATACATGTGTGCGCACACACACATACTGAATCTCTTTTTGTCGAAAAGCTAAGCAAATATTTTTGTAGTAATATAATGTAATATGTAAGCTAACTTGGAGAAGAGAACTTGTTGAAAATTTTTACAAGAACATGAAAGAAGAGCATATTTGAGAACTGCATGCCACATTATTTGGTTGGTAAATAAGGGCCACTCCAGGATGTTATGCATAATTTTGCAGAAAATTGATGATGATGCTTACATATGTATGTATGTATGTATGTATGTATGTATGTATACATACCTTCTTTTGTTCAGTAGATTCCATAAAAAATTAACCTTCTAATTCTCCGTAATGTTTCTTCCAATAATTAAAATAATGCAGGAGGAGAATGTCGCACAGGAAGTTTGAGCATCCCAGGCATGGGTCCCTTGGATTTCTCCCAAGGAAGCGTGCTGCTCGCCACAGGGGCAAAGGTATGGCTAACTAATAAGATTTTCTTCTTTTGCTGTTCATTGTGTTTCTGACGATTTTACATTTACTGTTTTTTTAATTAATTTATCATTGTGCCCTGTTTGCATTATACATTGTTATGTGTTGTTAATGTGTTTTTTTCTCGTGAACTTATGCAGTGAAGTCTTTCCCCAAGGATGATCCTAGCAAGCCCTGCAAGCTTACTGCTTTTTTGGGTTATAAGGCTGGGATGACCCATATTGTCAGAGAGGTTGAAAAACCTGGATCAAGTAAGCAGATTTTGAAGGATTTCTATGTATTCGGTTCTTCTCTGCAGAATTTTCACTTGGCATTTAATGTTACTTGTGATTTTAGCTAGGTAGAAAAACTGCCTTTGGAGGAAGGAGCAAATGGTCAGAAAAACTATGAACTATAAAGCTCAAATCAGCCTAAAATATTTGATTTATGTTGGCATGAAGCTTGAAAAGTCTGAAATTGTTGTTGCTTGCTAGGCAATTCAAAACTTATCTGAGATAGGCATGACGGGACTTTTTAGTTGGGTGATTTGATTTAACTGGCTTCTTTTTGCTATTGTTGGTTGCTGCCCTCAAACCATTTGTACCTTAGTCATCCTTTTGGGTACAATTTAAACCTGATTGGTAGTATCCTAATGTGCATGATTTTCCGAAGCCTAATGCATATGTATGATAATGTTGGAATAGTTTTAATTTAATTTGCCATGTGTGATACCAGTCTGTTCTACGATAAGATTTTCATATATCTCTTCTGTTCAAAATCAATTTTTTCTCTTCGTAGGATCCTGATTCCTTTGCACATCATGTTGTAGCTAATAGTCTTTGATTTTTACCGGCATTTGAAGTTCTATCAATTTAGTAACTTGTTTATTTTCAACTTCAACTAATTATGTTTGTTGCTGTAGAGCTTCACAAAAAGGAGACCTGTGAGGCTGTAACTATTGTTGAGACCCCTCCAATGGTGGTTGTTGGAGTAGTGGCCTATATTAAGACACCTCGTGGCCTCCGTTCTTTGAACACTGTCTGGGCTCAACATCTAAGTGAGGATGTGAAAAGAAGGTTCTACAAAAACTGGTGCAAATCCAAGAAGAAGGCTTTTATTAAGTACTCAAAAAGATATGAGACTGAAGAAGGGAAGAAAGATATTCATGCACAGCTGGAAAAAATGAAAAAGTATGCCACTGTTATAAGGGTTCTGGCTCATACTCAGGTACTCTATTCTGTTGTTCAAATTGATCTCACTTTATTGAACTTAATTGGACTTATTTAATATCTTCAAGTTACTTTATGATCCCATCTTCTATATGGCATGTCATGATCCCATCCTCTATATGGCACTGCCAGTAGCTATTTTATAATTTTTTTTCCAAGATGGAGGTTGCATGGCAATTTAGATTTTTTTTTCTTGTTTCAGTGGGTTGCTAGTAAAGGTTTCTGCCTCGTGTGTGGCTAATTACGGTCCATGGTTTTTGGGCCACAAAGTGAATATGCCAGCCTTATTTCAGTTGAATCTTAATCTAACCATATAGAAGCTGTCAAATTTTAAGATGGTTGATGCTGTGGATTTGATGCTTGACATAACTTTTCAACCCACGAATTTGCTGTAATGATCATTAAAGAACTCTGAGCCAGTGAGAGTTAATTGTCTGATTACTTCAACTAATACTCCTGATTGACATACGATTGATTCATAATCTGTTGCTTCTACATCCCTTTGGCATTACCCCTTTTGATTTTACTAATTGAATTTCGCACTGTGATGCCATTTCTAATTAGGGGAAATTTCAAATAAGTCCTACTTTTATCTTAAAAACCATCAAGTCCTAACATATTTTTATTAGAACAATGAAATCCTACTGTTGATGATGTATTCCCATAAAGTCCTAAATACATGATATTCCTTGTTTGCCCTTTACCATTGAATCACTAAAATGCCATTTGAGTTTGGGATACCTTTTGTTCTATATGCTGCATGTCAATGGATCATATTAATCTGATTCGATTTAACAACTCTTGTTCAAATTTGATTTGAATGTGCAATGGAATTTATGTCCATAATCTATATTCCAGTCTATTAAAAATTAGAATCTGATTCCATTCTTAGAATTAGATTTTAGATAAATTTATTAAACTACATTTAAATTTTAAGTCAATTTCACTAAAATAATTGTGTAATTTCATATTATATATATATCTATTTGTATACATAGTTTTTATTGAATTTTACTTGGATCAGATATCAATAAATTTGTGAAATAAGGTATAACAAATTAAAATAAAATTGATATTAAATAATTAATGAAAAATACTAATCTATATGTTACCAATTAAATTCAAATTCATAGCATATTCAAATCAAGATTGGTTATATAAATAAATGTAATTAGAATTTTAGGTATTTAAAGATTCATAAAAATTAATTTTTAACTAAACTAAAATTGGTTACCTATATCTTTTTGGAAAATTGGTTACCTATAATATAAGGTAAATATGTAATTTATGGTATCATAGGAAGAGGATAAAATTGGAAGGAAAATTATAATTGATTGATTTTAGGACTTCAAGGGAATAATTTTTCAAAAGTCGGACTTAATTGTTCTAATGTAAACATGATAGGACTTTATGGTTTTTTTCTTGTAAAAGTAGGACTTATTGGAACTGTTCCCTTCTAATTATAAATCGTCTTTGTTTGGTTCTTATTATCAGTATTCAAACATCACATGGTTGGGTCTAATATTGTCTGTTGCAGATTAGGAAAATGAAGGGATTGAAGCAGAAGAAGGCACACTTGATGGAGATCCAGGTCAATGGTGGTACTATTGCTCAGAAAGTGGACTATGCTTATGGCTTCTTTGAGAAGCACATTCCCGTGGATGCTATTTTCCAGAAGGACGAGATGATTGACATCATTGGGGTGACCAAGGGTAAAGGTTATGAAGGTGTTGTCACTCGTTGGGGTGTCACTCGCCTTCCCCGTAAGACTCACAGGGGTTTACGGAAGGTGGCATGTATAGGTGCCTGGCACCCTGCCCGAGTTTCATTCACAGTTGCCAGGGCTGGTCAGAATGGATATCACCACCGAACTGAGATGAACAAGAAGATATACAAGCTTGGCAAGGCTGGGCAGGAGTCGCACACTGCCATCACTGAGTTTGACAGGTTAGTACCTTATCTAGTGAACTCTAGTAAATTTGCTTTAGCCAGACATGTTTTGAGAGTTCATTGAATCTAATTTTGCTTGGTTTAAAAATTTGCTGGTTTGAATTTATTATGCCTGCCTTTTTTTTTCTCTTTCTATTTGGTGAAGGGAATGTGGGAACTCAAATTTCTGAGCATTCTGAATTTGTTAATTGCTTAGAAAATTAATGAATGTTTGAAATATCTGAAGCCATCGCCTCTTTAGTGTATGTTATGGTAAGACCAATCTTGCCCATGCCTAGCCAACCCCTACAAGAAAGAAAATGAGGACGAGATTATGAGTATTACACTGAGATGCATGCTGTGGTAGCACTGCTTAATCATTCTTATTTTTGTGCTTACAGGCCTTTTCTCTTTAGTTTATATTCTGCACATCATTCAATTTCTCTAACATGGTTTTGTAAATAAAACAGGACTGAGAAAGACATTACTCCTATGGGTGGCTTCCCTCACTATGGTGTGGTGAAAGATGATTACATATTGATCAAAGGATGCTGTGTTGGGCCAAAAAAGAGGGTTGTCACACTTCGCCAGTCTCTGCTTACACAAACATCTCGTCTAGCCCTCGAGGATATCAAGCTTAAGTTCATTGACACGTCGTCGAAATTTGGACATGGGCGTTTCCAGACTACACAGGAGAAACAAAAGTACTATGGACGGCTGAAAGCATAATTGCCCCATCCATTGAAATCTTTCGATTTCAATGCAACTCAGATATCTATGGTTTTATGACGGTCAGAGATGGCCTTAAGATTTGTTTTTGTTTCATTTGGATATTTGATGTCTTCTGAGACACGAACAGTGTGGTGCAAATTTTGTTTTATTGTAGACTTACTGTTATGAATTTGTTTTTTATTCTAAGATTTACCGGTTTGTTATTCTGTCATTGATATAAGGTACATCTGTGTTACCCGAAAAAAATGACGTTGGATGCATAAACAAATGACTCTTAATTGTCGAGGACACTGGTCAGAAAAGAGTCCCTACTCTATGTTAACAATGGGGTGTGCAGAGGTGAGTGGTAGGTCGTCTTGTCCACTTTTAACAAGACTTGGTTACTGATGGTAAGAATGTCGAAGATTTGATATCTAGCAGCTGCGCTAATGTAATCATCTCGGATGAATTTTGCAAAGCTGGCCTCTGTTTCGATAGCATCACTGAAACTTGTTGCATGGTTGGCCTAAACTGTGGACTAGGATGTAAACACGCAAATGCTAGCTTCACAAGAGAGACCACTTCCTCAGCCGCTTGCTTCCTGGGAGGCGAGATGTGTTGGTCCAACAATCCCTTCAACAGTATACCATGGGCAGTTGATGCTGATGATGATGACCATGATGGCAATAGGGATGAGATGAGCTCACCAGGATGCTTCCCCATAATCACTTCCATTGGTAGAACCCTGAGCTATAAACATCGCATTTCTCATTCACTTTCATGGTGTAAGCAAGTTCTGCAACAAGAATAAGGCAAATAGTGAGCAGAAAAAAGAAAAAATTATGTTTGCTTCACTCACTTCATGGTGACTTGTTTAGTGAATAGAGACATACCTGGAGCTGCATATCCAAAAGTACCAGCAAATGAAGTCCAATTAGATGAATCAGGCCATAAAACTCTTGCGGTGCCAAAATTCGTGATGTGAGCCTCATATTCAGATTCTAACAAAACATTCTTGCTCGATATGTCACGATGAATCATAGGCAGTGAACAACCACGGTGCATATAAGACTATGCCTTTGCCACCCCTTTAATAACATTCATCCTCTTAATCCTTCAAAATTAACTGCTTGTTCATGATTACTTAGTAATTTCTCCAAGCTTCCCCCTTCTAAGAACTCATAAACCAAGAATGAGTGTCGTGTATGTACACAAAACCCATAAAGCTTCACAATATTCAGATGTCTGATTTCTGTCAATGCACAAATTTCATTTGCAAAACCTTTCAGTTTCTCTCTCTCATCGTCTTCTGATGCATCAAGTTTCTTTACAGCAACAACCTGTCCACTAGGCAACTTGGCTTTATAAACAATTCCATATCCTCCCACCCCAATGCAATGTTTGGAGCTGAAGTCCTTTGTGGCTTCAACGATGTTTTCGTATACTATCTTTCCATCAAAGCTCCATATGGAAAACAAATTTTCATTTGGTTCTTTGGGCTCATTTTTTATGCTCCTCTTTTTTCCCCGAATTGCCCAAAAAATGCCAATGACAAGGAATAAAAGAAACAGACCTCCGATAACAGGAAGTAGGATTAAAACCAGAAACCTTTTTTCCCTATTGCTCTTCATATGGAAGCAAGGCATTAAACCAGTGGCATTGCCACACAAACCTTTGTTATCCTCAAATGGAGCCCCCTGAAAGGCTGTGATGCGGGGAAGAGGACCCCTCCAATTGATTGTAGGATATGTCAACAGATCTCAAACCTAAGCTTTGGTCAAAGGTGGAAGGGATGGAACTGGAGAACTCATTATGGGAGAGATTCAATGTTTCTAAGCTTCGCAATTGCCCAAGTTCCCATGGTACCTTTCCTGTCAGCATATTTTGGCCGAGATCAAGATTTTCAAGAGAGTGTAGATTTCCTATTTGAGAAGGAACACTCCCGCCAAATAAATTGTTGCTCAAATTTAGGTTCAATAATTTCACCCGTTCTCCTATTTGATCTGGAATTGAGCCACTAAGATTATTTGCTGCTTAGTTAAGATGTGCAAGATCATGCAACTTGCCAAGTTCTGAGGGAATATTACCTGAAAGCTTATTATGATTCAAAATAAGGTCGATCAATGAGCCCAACTTCCCCAATTTTTTGGAATCTCCCCATTCAATTGATTTGAAGATAGATCAAGTTCACCAAATTGAGTTGCCTCACCAAGCTCTGATGGTATCCTTCCAGAAATGTTATTGTTGGAAATCTTCAACCAAGTTAGATTATGGCAGAGCCCCCAATTTTGAGATAGTGCACCATAAAACTTATTGTAACTCAGATCAACATAATCCAAGTTCGGATATATGCCAAAATCTTCCGATATATTTCCAGCAATTTAGTTTCTTTCGAGCCTAACTCTGTATAAGGTGGTGCAAGTTTTCAAGCATTTTGGGACGTTACCAATCAAATTATTATTTTGTACAGTCATCAGAGTAAGTAATCCACCAAGGCATATATTATCTGGCAAATGACCAGTGAGATTGTTATCAACTAAATTAACCCTTTTCAAATGTGTAAGATTATTCAGTTCCGGAGTAATTGGGCCAGTGAGTTTGTTATTGTGCAACCTAAGATCAATAATGGACTTTTAACTTTCCTAATTCAGGAGGAATGGAACCAAATAATAAATTTTTTTTGTAGCCACAACATCTTGAGGTTTGCCAAGTTTCCAATGGTCGAAGGAATGCATCCTGTGAGATTATTTTCATGAAGGTATAGAAAAGTTAGGTTCCCCAAGTTCCCTATAGAAGTAGGGATTGAACCCATGAGTTGGTTGCCGTATAGTGAGAGGTTAGTGATAGATCTCAACATTCCAACTTCTTCAGCTATCGATCCTGTGAGATTGTTATTTGATATTGAAAGCTCGTTGAGAGACCTTAGCATTCCAATTTCTCGGGGGATGGAGCCACTGATAAGATTATTGACAATGTACAAGACTTGAAGATTTGTCAATAAGCCTATTTCAGAGGGAATCATGCCCGAAAGGCGATTAATAGACAAGTCAAGATAGTTAAGGTTAGAAAGGGTACCAATGTTTGAGGGGATGGTCCCATAGAGGGAGTTGTCATACAGGTCAATAGAGCTGAGATAAGGCAAGGATGATAAATTAAGATCCTGATCAAGCTTACCTATTAAACCATAACCTTTAGGTCTATATGGGTGATCCTTCCAGCCTTATTGCAGCCAATCCCATCCCAATTGCATGGGCTATGCCCACCCCATGATGAAAGGAGTGATTGGCTTTGGTTGTCAAGGCTGGCTTTCCATGTTAGAAGAGCAGNCTAATTGCATGGGCTATGTCCACCCCATGATGAAAGGAGTGATTGGCTTTGGTTGTCAAGGCTGGCTTTCCATGTTAGAAGAGCAACATCTTCTTTGCCTTCTGCTATTTGTGTTAGGAAATTTGCACGAAATTCTTAAACCTGTAAGACAAAAAAATAGAGAAAACACACGTTAAAAAAAAAAAAAAACAATCACACACAAAAGACAGTTTTTAGGTGGTTTGACAATTTGCTTACGTCTATGAAACTGCAAGGATTTCACTATTAAGAAAAATACAAAGGGTGGTTGTACAGTATCAATTGAACCCTAATCACAAAAATAACAGTTTTTATATATCCTGGCTACAAAACAAGCCCAAACCTCCGCTCCATGGACAAAGCTTCAGAAAATTTTTCATTTAAAAATTACGCAACATTATTTCGGGACTGGTTATCATCCAGATCAACACAAACTAGACTTCACAAAAGAACCCAACAAATCTCCCACATAATTTGCAGAAGCAACAGCAAAAGCATCACAGTGGGAAGTAGGAATCCATAAATGAATGCTGAGAAATATGAGAAACAGTTGGAAAGGAACAAACTGGTCAGAGGGTGGCTTTTCAACTGGGGTTTTCATGGCTTACAAGAAGAGCTATGGTTCGATGGAGGGATGAATGGCCTTTATTGTACCGGGAGATTATTTATAGGAATAACTAGCTATGAAGCACCAACATGTCACACTCTCGGACATGGACACATTTTAAGTAAGATTTACTCTCTATGTAAGTAAATAACTATTTAAGTGCATGCAACCCAAAGGAACAAAAAATCAGAGGACTTCGGCTTTCACCGTGCAAGTTCTGGCACCTTTTCTCTTAAATTCTTCCTTGGATTTCGTGGTTTCTTACCCAATTTTTCGGGTTGTTCACTTGCCGACAAACTCATACAACAACAACCAAGAGATTGGAAGAGGGGTCGAAATAAACCTAAAGTTATTAAAAAATTTTGTATTAACCCTAAAAAAAGTTCAGTTTAAACCTACCATCATAATTTTTTAATTATTATTTCTCTCTCTTACCATCAAGTTCAAATATGGTAACACATGTTTGAATATAATATTTTAATTAATATTTTTTGTATTTAAAAAAATTAAAAATTAAATTTATTATTAAGATTAAAATAAAAAATCTTATTTATCATTTCTGCTTTAGGTCGCAAAATGTTTCGGGCCACCCTGACATTGTTCCCGCAGTAGGATAAACAAGGCCATCCATAGAGTTGTTCCTGTAGTAGGATACGAGTACCATTAATAGCTCCTTTAATGGCCTGTAGCTACTATGCATTAAAATAGTCTCACTAAGAATTGCATCCTCAAGCAATTTACAGGTCAAACACAGAAGACCAATGGATGACACGAACAATATAGAGTTGCCGGAGAATGAAATCTATCATCCTATCAGCTTTTCGTCATGCAACAGTCCCTTTGGAGCCATGTGTAAGCATGGCCTTTAATGAACTAGAATATGCTGTGATTTGTTACTGAGCATATAGAAGGCGAAATGATTTTAACATTCGAAAAAATCATACTCAATTTTCTAGTGCTGATATGTCATTGAGAAGGACATCGTCGTCCAAGTTATCAAAAGAAGCATAAAAACGTCGCAAGCCGCTATGTGACTATGCATGATTGGGTGCAAAGCAAAGACGAGTTTGAAAAGAGATGAAGGAAAATGGGTAGAACAAAAGTTTATAATCAAGCATAATCATGAGTTATGTTCTCCAAAAAGTACTTCGTTGCTTCGACGACATACGAAGATAATGAGTAATGTTACGTAAACTTAAAAATTAGACTTAATAAACTCAACTATTGAATAGATAGTGGGTCCCAATAAATGCTGGGACTTACAGTAAAATCAATGGTTGAGATTTTCAAGTCTAGTTTTTAAATCTATTTTTTAAGTCCATGTAGCATTGTTCGGTATTGGTTGAGATATAAGACCCGAATACTTGTAAGCTTATTTTGGGGTAATGGATAAACTTTGGTGAACTGGTAGAGGTTCTATGCAACTTCGGCGGAGAGGCTCATTGAAGGAAGATAACATCTAACCATGATATTAATTGAGATATAAGATTCAAGTACTTGTAATTTAATTTTAGAGTAGTAAACTAATCTTTGTTGAACCGGTAGAGGTTCTCCGTAGTTTTTTCTAATGATGGTTTCAATGTCAACTAATCACTTGTGTCATTTATTATTTTTGCATATACACTTGTGATGCATGTACACGCACTATGTCTTTGATTGAATGAATGTTTGAATGTCATAATCATTCATAGTTGTTCATCCAAAAGTTTGAGTCATTGGGTTTGAGATCTCTGTGTGAGATTGGGTGTTTGAGTGTTTAATTGATAAAATTAATAACATCAATTTACATGGGTTCATGGGGTCATAGTGGTTGAAAAGGGGTTCTTATGTTTACTTGTTAAATATTTGTGCAAATAGCTAATTGTGGTAGAGTTAGGTTTTAAATTGTGATTTATTAAACTTAAAGTTTAAAAAGATATTTGCTCCCTGTAGTGTCATGCACTTCACGTGTGTAATCATGAGGAAAAATCTACATCGTTCCTCCCTCTTCCAAAAGAATATATACAAATTATAATAAAAAAGTATATAACAAGATATTAATTCTAACCTCAATGAACAGGAATGAGAAAGAAATCATACCTTGATTTCGAAGAAAATTGCTGTTAAAGTGTTTTGTGTAATTCATATGTCTCGATCTCCTCAAGATCTAGTCCATTGGACCATTGGTCCTGCCTTTTCAATAATTGGGCAGTTGTTATTTCTCTTGAGGGCAAAAATTGGAGTAGTTCCAATCAATTGGAGAACGTGCCCTCTTATGTTTATGACTCTTTGCTCAAACATTGTGTCCATAAGTATTTGACATTTTTCTTATAAGATGTAGATTTGATAATAGGATAATAAAATATTCAGGAATTATCAAAAAATCTCCCTCAGTATATGGTAGAATTTAAAAATGACGTATTTGGCATAGAAGACATCTTACTCGATGCTCTTCTTGTTGATATTGATGAGTTGAATGACGTTTATATATATACTAGGGATAACCCATGCTTAAAGGCACGATACAACTAAAAAAAATTAAATATTGAATTTGAATGCAAAATAATCAACCATTGAACTCGAACACGTATTAAATTGAACCCTATATCACTTATTTGAAAGCACTGTACATAATTCTTAAACACGAAATAATCAAACAATAAATATAAACATGCATTAAGTTGAAAATTGTTTGGTCATTTTTAATGTCATGAC